CCAACAGACAGGGTTGGTTTTCAGCACACACTCCTTGGTCGCTCCCTTTCGAGTGGTGAATGATAACAAGTTTGATGGAATACGCATATAAGTAGCAATGCGACATACATAAGTCTCAGGAATTACACCGACGCGATTCGGGTAACAGAAGCAATTTGCTGAAAACTGGCGTTATCTTCCTTTTCTAGATGATCATGTCGGCTGTGGAGCCAGCCCTTGCCCGAGTGGCATGCTCCGACCTTCAACGATCGAGCTTCACTAAACACTGCCTACCTTCTCTCTTCCCTCTCCTTTCCACTTTATCTTCTTTCAAGTAATCGAACAAATCTTCGGCAGTGAAAGGATATCCCTCTGTCATCGCATGAAAGCGTCGTTCAAGGAACATCAACGTCACCCAAGGCGAACCTTTCAACGGGAGGGTGTGGCAATGCCACCTATACAAGCACTACACTCACTGTTGAGACTTCAGCACATCCGTTTCGACTGGGTTATATCTCGAACGGGTAGAATTTCTGTGAGATCATGTTTACCTAAAAAAAAAGCTCCCCTCACGGAACGAAACACCGACCCACCACCTGCACGAAGATCGCACACGAAAGATCCTATCGTCCTCGCATGAACATGCCACGTTTCAACGCGAGTCTCGCACTTCAACAGGCTCCATGTGGTCGGAAGCGTCGCATCAACCACTCACAAGGTTCAGCAGACACACCGACTCAAGATAAGAAAACAAGGACATAAATAACGCAAAAGCCCGACGTAGCTAAGACGATGTTGGTTCACTCGTACAGCAGGGCTAACGGGCAGTGGCGAGGGAAGTGCCCCTTTGCCCCGCACTCCAGGCACATCTTCACCCCACCTTTCGCCTCCTCCGTCCGAGCCTCCAGCTGTCCCGCCATGAACGCCGACACCACCCGCAGCTCGTGAGACACGCCGCTAAGAGGACCGAACTATTGCACCGCGACCAAAAAAGGGGCCCATGAAGGGTGGGGGGCATGGGGTAGCGGGGCACAGCGAATCACTGTTACATCGGGAGCGGGATTCACGGATGCGAGACGGTGCATGAACAAAAGTAGTAGCGAACCTATACTACTGCTATTGCCAAGAACACCAAACAAAAGCGCGAGAGGCACAGGCGTGCGGAAACATGAGAGAAAAGGGGGAAAAAAAACTGTGTCCAAACACACGCAGGTCCCTGTCACCGCTACGCCTCCCAACAATATGGTACCAGGCGTTTTCCGTTGTATGCACGTAGGATTGTGCAATTGCGACGTGGATTCCGCACCTTAATTTTCAAATACACCAAACAATAGACGAAAATAATAAACGAAAAAACGGAATTCCGCAAATTTGAAAAAAGCAAACTACAAACACAAAAAAAACGAAACACACAGACACGATTGTAGGCATCACCTTGTGGTCCTTCTCGAAGTTGTTTGGGATGACGAAAGCCTCTTTGACGAACCGGAAGACGGCAAGCGTGTTCGCCGGCACGTTCCCCTTGCTATTTCCTTCTCGGGAGTACTGCACCTCCTGCACCATGCGTGAATTCATGTGTATGGGGGACAAAAGCAAGCAAGACCAGGAGGATGGGGGGGGG